GTCTGTACTGAGCAGAGAGGACTGCTGATCAGGCGTCTTTCAATTTCATGGGAAAAATGGATTGCAACATCATTGGCAGGACAGAATAAAACATACACTTCGTTGGTTTTTTTTGACATGGGCTATAATTGAGCCAATAGACTCAAACTGATTTCCCTGGCTACTTCTTCAGGATGCGTTTGAAGGCCTGTCCAGGCAGCAGGAACAAAGAACTCCATCTCCAGAGTAAGAAAGACAACTGGTTGTGGGGCTTTGAGTAGTAACCTTGACAAGTGAGCATAAAAAGACTTCCTACCTTGATGGCAGTTAGGAGGATTAGATGAGACTCTATATAAATCACTTAGCAAGTGTCTGGTGAACACAGAGGGTTTGTTCAGTAGGAACAAGTGACAGTATTATGTTTAAAAATTATGTAATATCTTTGACTTAAGTAGATCCAAATATATTCCTTAGGAAGTTGAAATATGTTAATGTATTTTTTTAATTACATGGTGAATAATTATTCAAGAATTGAATTATTTATCAATATCTGGTTAGATTTTTAGAAACCTATCTTCTCAGTCACAAATCCTCCCAGTGGCTGCAACATTGGTCCATTCCCTCATGCAGCAGCTGTCTAGTTCCAAAGCTCCCACTAGGTGCTTCTCAAACCAGAAGCGTGGGATTTGTCAGGAAATCTGGTTTGTGAGCACTTCCTCAGGAGCCTGTTCTGGGTGTGCATGGTCTGCAATCTATTCCTGCAGTCGTTCTCAGAGGTGCCCGCTGCACCTCCCCATCCTCTGAAAGCGGTCCCTGTGGTGGAGTGGCAGGAGCAGGGTTGGAAGCGGAGGCCTTGGATTTGAAACCTTACTTTATTGCCCCCACACCACACACTTGAAGTCTCTTTCTTCCTCGTGCAAGCTTCGTTTTCTTCATTTGATTTCTACTGTGGGTTAACAGCAGCTCACAGGCTGTGGCAGAATTTCCTGGCGTTCCAGAGCCAGGGCCATCTCCATGAACGCTTGTTGACTCCGTTAATTCCATGCTTTATCTTACAGTCTTTCTTATTTCCCACCATCTCCAAAGTCCCCTGGCTGCATATAACTCAAATGAAAAGCAGCTGCTTTAAAGAGCGATTCAGGAACCCCCTGTCAGCTGTCAGTGTGGTAAAAACTGCCTAGAATGTTCACCTTCCATGAGAGGCGGGGCTCAAGGTGGCTCCTGGGTTTGAAGGAGAAAGGTCCTTAGTAAGTTATTGGAGCCACACGTGTGTTCTCGGCTTCAGTGGGGTCGTCACCGGGAACACCCAGCGCCGGCTAGTCGTTCTTGCTCCCAGTGCCCCCCCTCTCCCTGCCAGCCCCAGGCCCCTCGCCTGTCCCTTCCCTGCGCGGGGCCATCCCGGGCTCGCCGCGGGCGCAGTGGTTGGCTCGCTTTTCTAGCTCTGGTCTGAGCGCCTTCCTGGCTTCGGGCGCCCGCCCGGGCGCTGACCGTTTTTGCTCTAGGCGTCTACGAGGAGCAGGTTTTTCCTCTTTCCCGGGT